CTATATACTTCATAGCGCATGGGTCAATTTACTCAAGAAATAACATTCTGTTTTTGTTTTGTTTTTTTAAAGAGGGAGTTTCACCCTATCGCCCAGGCTGGATTGCAGTGGCTTGATCACAGTTCACTGTGACCTCAAACTCCTGGGCTCAAACAATCCTCCCACCACAGCCTCCTGAGTAGCTAGAACTACAGGTACATGCCACCATGCCCAGCTAATTTGTTTTTTGTAGAGATGAGGTCTCACCATCTTGCCCAGGCTGGTCTCAAACTCCTGGCCTCAAAGCAATCCTCCTCCCTCGGCCTCCCAAAGTGCTGAGATTACAGATTATTTTTAATCTCTTATTTGTTCAATCCACAGAATTCATATTTGAAGGACATTGCTTCAGGAATTAGCAATTGTTATGAATAAGAGTTTAGCTCATCTAAAATATATCTAGAATTCTTCTGAAATTATGCCTGACTTTAAATTAAATGTGGAAAACAAGAAGCATTTTTTCAAACTCTGTTCTTTTTCTTATAAATCAGCTGTTTTCTAGAAAAAAATAACACTCTCCAATACTTGACATATTTTCCTCCCCAGGTAATAATACATGCAGAATACTAGAACAAAACAAAACTTTACCTAATAGGGCTCTCTGAATCAGAGGGTACTGTTATTAATTCCGCTGTATATAAGCTATGCTTTTCTGATAAGCTGGCTGCTTTTGGAGTGGAAGCCTTTACTGGACTATTATCTCGTGCATCTTCGGAATCAATATCTCTAATGGTTACTGGAGTAGGCATGCTTCTACTTCTTACAGACCTTCTGGCTGATTTGGGTGTGGAAACTATTACCAAGCTGTCTTCAGGTTCAGCTTTAGAACACATAACCTTATCATCTTTAACTGGTGTGCTGGTTTTTCTTGATGATTTATTGTTACAGAAACAGGAAATCTTTAAAGGGTCATCACTTGCTACACAAACAAGATTTTCACTGTTAAATAAAGAGTTGCTTTTGAAAACTTCTGTCTTTTGTCGTAAACTCATTCTTATCCTGTTTTGATTTTGTTTATCTTTTAAGGAAAAGGTTGTTTCTTTCTTTTGAGTATTTCCTTCTAGGTTTTCACCTGGAATAGCCCCAGTATCTAATGTTTTCTTACCCTTTTTCTTTAGTTTTTTACTTTTTGTCTTAGGAAAACTTCCTTTATCAGTGTGTGATTGTGAATTGTCATTATTTGAAATCATTTGAATACCAGGATTTTCCATGATTTTTTTAGAATTATTACCTCTTCCTTCCTCATTTAGAGATTTTTCATTAAGGTCTTTCTGCTTATCAGAAGACTTTTTAACTCCATTTTTAAGTGCATCTGATGCTGGCTGCCTAAATGCTTTCATAAATTGCTGTCTTTCTTCTAGAGTACATTTTGGTTTCACTGCTTCAGAACTTCCGGCTTCCAACACTGCCAATTCTAATTCTTCCTCCTGGATAACAACATTAGATTTTCTTTTCTGAATTGCCTGTTCATTCTCAGGATCAGATAGACTATTTTCCATTTCAAGTTGCTTTTGTTTCAAGAAAATTTGAGGTATTTTTCCCATCTTTTTGGGGGGAATAGGGTGAACTTGTGCAAGAACAGTAACTGTCTTAACGCGTACCTGCTGGGAAATTTCACAGTTTTCTGTATCACTTATATAACCACTTTTGACTATTTCTTCAACAGTTTCAGAAGGTACACAAATTGACATTGTTGAGTCTGGTATCTTTTCCCCTTTATTTTCCCTGTGACTTTTTAAAAATTCCTCATATGATACAGTAATTGTACTATCATTTAACTGGACTATTTTAGTTACATTATCTCTAGAGTTTACATCATTTGTAGTAGTCTCAATTTCATTAGTCAGGAAAGGCATTATCTGTTTACTATCTTCACCATCTTTTTTAAGCAGATTTAGTTCCTCCGCCAAGGGTAAACTTTCAGATAGATCTATTACATCTCTGCGCTTCCTTTTTCTCAACTTTTTGCAATCATTTTTCGTGGTCCCTTGTTGAGGATTTACTTTTTTAGAATTTTTCTTTGAGGTCATAGTACTTGACTGATTTTTTATATCCTGGATGCTTTCTGCAAGTACCTCTACATGTTTCCTGTAAAGTGAAACAGAAGTACTACTTTCCACAAAATCATTATTTAAACTAGAGTCTTCTTTGCTATCATCACTATTAATTTCAACTGGAGATTCATTTTCAGTTTTAATATTATTTAGTTGATGAGATAAATTAACCCTCTTTCCTTTCTTCTTAAACTCTTTATTTGAGAACATTTCCAAAGGTGCCTTACAGTCTTTGCTACTGTCAATGGGCAATGATACAGACGATTTTATCTTGCACTCTCTCATTGATTTTGTCTTCTCCTTTGCAGGTGAAGTCTTTCTAAAATAATCCAGAATATTACTGGGTTT